CCAAAGTCTTAAAACTACTTTACTTTTAAAACCCTTATTTTCCTGGATCTTACCGTCTAAGCCCTACATTGAGTAGAAATGAGAAAGTGAAGCATCATATAAGGATTTACATTAATGTTTTGGATTGAAGGTGGTTAGGCTCAAGTATAATTTTCTTAATATTTCAATAATGTTTCAATATCAATTAATTAATTTTTATAAAATAATATTAAAAATTTAGAAAGGAAACATAATATTACCAAAATATTAAATATCTAAATGATGTGTTTTCATTAGGAAAAAATTATAATGGCATGCATTTCAAATAAGAGTATCAAATAAAATTTCATGAGACTAAAACATGTATTAAATTTGCAAAGTTAATAAAACAAAGTCGATAAAATTTGAATTTTTTTTTTGAAAAAAATAGATGATCAATTAAAAAAATATTTTAAGTGTCTCTTTACTTATATTTTTTTAATTCTAACGAAATCTCTTTTTTATACACTAATAAAAATCATAATACATCACTTGAAATCTGACAAAGAACAAAGATTAAACAAATAATAATTAAAATTTAACATAGGACTTTCATCTTTTGAAATTTGATATATGTTGGTGGTGATAAATAAGATGTATGACAATAACATTAAATTATTATATTCTAGTAAATAATTTTTTATATAATTGTAGTGGTAGAATTACACTTATAATAATGAGTTACAAAATAAAAGTAATTATATAAAAAACATCAAAAACAATATTCTATGAGTGATGAAAATAAAAATACGGCTTAATTATTCAAATGGTTCCCACTTTGGTGGAAGGGTGTCAAGTTAGTCCTCACTTTTAAAAAAGTTTTAATTACATCATAACTTTTGAAAAATTGACTTGATTAGATCCTTTTAGAAAAAAAAAAAAATACTAATGGTGCCACTGATCAACATGTGCTTTTTTTTTAAATTTCTTTTTTAACTTTTTTTTAAAATTTTGTTGTCATGTGTCAAGTCTTTGGTATGACCTGTGATAGTATTAAGTATCAATTTAATCATTATATATGTTTTTTTATTTTATTTAGTTTTTATATATCTTTTTGAATCAATTTAGTTCTAATTTTTTTTAAGATGAAACAATATTGTCTATGTCCAAATTAAGACAACATTTATTATTCGTATAAATGTTATATTGATATTTTTATTAAAAAATGAATTTTTAATATATTACATCATTGAATATTATTAACCTATGTTTTGTTAATCTATGTTTTCTTATAAGATTAAAACTAATTAAGTATAAATATTTTTACAAAAAGAGAAAGTATTTAAATTTAATATATTATTAGTCCAAGCTTTTTTATAAAAATAAATTAATTAATTCCATTTTTTCCCTCACCTCCATAATATTCTAACATGTACTTTCATAAATTTTGTATATACAATCCGAAATAAAAAAGGTTGTATATTTTGTAACATAAAATAAAAAATAAATTTTGAATTGTATAATCTGAAATATAAATATATTTTAAGTTGTATAATTGAAATATAATTTTTGAATTTCAGATTATATATTTTGAAACACAAAAGATTATATTTTGAATTGTATATTTCATAATATAAAATTCATATTTTAAAATGTACGATTTAAAATTGGTGGATGAAGAAATATATATAGGTGGTAGAAGAAGCTGCCAAGAGATGGATATCCACTCAAGAGATTCACGGGGTAAAGAATGTCACAGACCTAACAAACATAGAAAAAAAGGAAGAAAAGCAGAAAAAAGCTATATCAAAACTTGCTATGTTACTTCTGTTCTTTCTTTTTGACTCATCTTCTCCTAAAGAAAAACTAAGTTCAAGGTTTCGAGGATACTCTTTCAATTTACAACATGTAAATAATTTTTAAAACTCTTCAACACATTCTTAATAAATATTGTTTTTATAAGAAAAATTCACTAAAGAAATTGACAATAAAATTAATTACATCCATCGAGTTTATATGCTTTATGATATTTTAATTTGGGTCCTGATATTTTGATAACAAAATTTTGACACTCTTTTAACAACGTCACGTGTCACTATTCCATTGGTTGTTTTTTTATTTTTTTTAAATATTTAAAGTCTGATGTCAGCATTGAGGCAGGTTTCAGAAATTTGTGATTCCAAAAATGTCTCTTGTCCTATTTCATTAGAAATGAACCTTCTCTCTTGTTTGTCATTCTCCATCTTCGTTTTCGTTCTCACTCAGTTCTCGCTTTCGCTCTGGCTTTCGCTTTCGCTTTCGCTCTGGCTTTCGCTTTCGGTTTCGCTCTCACTCTCACTTTCGCTCTCGCTCTCACTCTTCGTTGCATCTCTTTGTTGCATCTGTTGGTTTTGCTCAACGTAGTCGCCTTTGTTGAGTTTATTCTGCAAAATGGCAAGTTCCGGTAACCATGGTCCTTTGACGAGCAAGTTAAATGCGTTGTTCCTCCATTTCTGTTTGGATTTTGGGTTTTCCCTGCTGTGTTATATTTTTTGTTGTTTTCGTTTTAGGGCTTTTATGTTTTGGATATTTTGTTTGTCTTTGATGCAGTTGATGGTTCGTCACTCATTTTCAACAAAGTACATTTGTACTTTGAACAAACGTTTGACAGATGAGAACCGATCACTGATTGTTAAGACTCTTTTTCGTTAGTTTTTAGATTTGAGTGGTAAAGTTAAAGTAGGTAGGAATATCTTGAGTGAGTTATTGGTTAAATGGTTGGATTCCAGTAGTGCTTTTTTAATTGGAGATGAACTGATGTCTATGAATGAGAAGGAATTTTGTTTAGGTTTGGGTTTGAGTTCAAATGGTAAAAATATTAACTTAAAGGAAGAAATGGGAAGAAGTACATGTGGGAAATACATAGGCAAAGGAACAAGAGATTTGAATTTGGTATACAAATGTTTGATGAGAAAACATACAAAAAAAATACCTTCTGCTTATTTTTGTAGCTTGTACATATTGGTAGGGATATGTGAGATATTATTTTCACAATGTAGCGGAAGAGTGTTTCCAATTTTTTTTGAAATTGTTGATAATTTAAGTGGATTGGGTAATTATTGTTTGGGTAGTTTAGTGTATCGTTATTTGGTACGTAGTTTGTGCAAAGCTTCTGTTTAAGAAAGGAAAAGGTACAAGGAACGTTTATGTCGATGGTTGCATTTACATGTTGCAGGTAATTTATATATATTGATGTAAAATGTTAAATTTTTATTTGTGTTTGGGTTCATTTGTGTTTTTGACGGAATGTTAAGATGAACATTATTGTTTAGGTATGGTTTTGTGAGAATTTCATTCTTCCCCAAGGTCCAATAGAGAAATTTCCAAGAATATTACATTGGATGAATATAAATTTGGGAGACAACTTCATGAAAGGAGTTATGGAGACGGGTGTGGTATGTGGTTTATTGTTTGACTGTTGTATGTTATGATATATGTCTTGATAGTATGATAAGAATTGTTTAATTTCAGGTTCATCATGATCTTGATATTGGTACAATGAAGGATAAGAAGAATGAGAACGATGACCAACCAAAACCAAAAATGAAAGATGACCAACGAACAACAAAGAAGTTACGTAAAAGAAAACGCAGAGAGAGTTTTATGCATACCTTAGACAATCAAGAAAATCTAATTGCAGAACTTAAAAGGAGGTTTGTTGTCTTGAAGTCAGAGTTGGCCAAAGAGAAAGCTAGAAGAAGAATAACAAAGGATGGTGGACAGAGTGTACCACATGCAGAACCGTCCATGAACAACGGATTTGATTCCCCGTGAGGCATGTCCACCAATCCACCTCAAATGAAGACGTATGTCAGGATGGGGTCAAGAAGGCGTTACAAGAGCAGAGCGCTTAGGACTCCTTAAACTGGTGATAACAGTTGAAAAA